GTCTGGGCACTGATGAGAGCAGATACAGGGTAGCCGTTGGGAGGCATTGGTAGGGATGATGGGTTTAGGCAGGGTCTCTAGTGCCCACCACTGTTGGTTTCTGACTGACAGGCGCCCATCGCTCTGTGCAGCCCGCAGCCTTTCTTAGCCTGTTCTCCAGCCTTAGCCACCACTAGTCATTCCCTTACTCTGGTTTCCTCCCTACTCACATCTCAGTGTGCTGGGCTTCCTTTAGAATGCCTGAAGATCAACACTGCTTTGGTCGATCTTCCGGCACTCGATTTAGCGAGTCCAGTAAACAAATGCTGTTAAATCAAATGCTGAGGACGCCCTCCTCCCAATCTACGCTGATATGCCTGCTCCTCGCAAGGAATAAGGGCCGTCGATGGGAGCGTTTCTCCCATCATTCTCCTCCTGTGAATGATAGCGGATGCGTTTAAAAGACGAGGGATAGCAATTTCAGGATACCTCTGTGATTAACACGGCTACATTTCTGTCTGGGGTAGCTGAAGCAAAATGCAGGACAATGTAGCACTTTAAAGACTAACAAGATGGTTTATTAGATGATGAGCTTTCGTGGGCCAGACCCACTTCCTCAGATCCACGAAAGCTCATCATCTAATAAACCATCTTGTTAGTCTTTAAAGTGCTACATTGTCCTGCATTTTGCTTCAGGATACCTCTGGTATCCCGAAATAACTCTGATGTGTAGACATACCTTAAGGGAGCCATATGCTCCCTATGCATTTCCTCAAAGCGTTGTTATGGTTCATTCGGCACAGCTGCAAATTCTGGATATGCAAGCGCAGTTAGCAAATCTACCCTCTCTTGGGAGACTGTCTTGGTCATCACAATCTTGTGGCCCACCAAGATTGAGGGTCACTCACGTAGCCCACTTGTGACCATAGGTTGCCCCTCACTGGCAGAGAGGGTGCTGTTCCTGGAATATAGGAATAATTCAAAATTATAAAGAACATTTTATTTATTTTTCTGTTTGATTACAGTAGTTAAAGTAACTTTAAAAAAATATGACTTTGAGTATGTATGTGTGGGTACATAGTTATATCTGTTGTAATCCTGCAACTATTTAAGCTCACGGTGGATACAGCTATGGAAATAGTGCCATTGATTTACCACTTCTTCTGAGGTGTTTGCAGAACTGCCGTCATACTAACTTCCATTGTGAAATTAGTCTGTACTTCAGGGCACATTTGTGTTTCTTTTCTTTAACCTTTTTACTCTGTGTATCAAAATTCTGATGACTGGAGCGAACACATTCGTAAGTTGCGATAGCTTTCTTTGGTGTTCCCTAGAAATCATTTTGTGTTCTAATGATTGTACTGTGTTAATTACAAATACTTCTATAATGTGACCTTCCTTGGTTTTGTAAGAAAACCCTCAACAACCACAGACACTGTGAAAAACTTAAAAACAAAAGGAGAAATAGATGCCTGTGTGTGTGTATTTTTTTTCTTCCTTTTTTTCCTTCCATTGCTAATTGCTAGGATATTTTTAAAAAAGAGAATCACTTCATTTTCTCTCTCATTTGTACACTGGCATCACAGTTTGTCATCAGCATGCAAATGGTTCTAAGATCCCAAGAACTAAAGTGTGATAACAGGGAATCTGACACATTAATTAAGCAATCACTTATATTCTAAATATTCTGGTAAAGAATGGTGGGGAGCAGAAGAAATGCAGACCATGGATAACAGTTTAGTGCCTTGGATGTTCTGTATAAAATTGCAAGTTGTAGGATCATCCAGGAGAGGGGAAACTGGAATATTTTATTTATATATATATATAAAATAAAACCTCCACAACACACACACACTTTCAAGTGCAACTTCTACTAACTTCAGTAGGTGTTGTGTATGCTGAGAAGTTGGCATACAGTAAGCTTATTTATAGTTGTCATAATAGTTCAGACTACTAGTCAGTGTGGCCAGGTATCCTGTCTATAGGATATAGCATTGTATTACATTGTGGCTTTCTGGGAAGGTAGACATTCCTCCATCCAGTGCTTTTTTTGTGACGGTAATGGCCGGTACGCAGTACCGGTACCTCTAGTCAGAGCTTAACAACTTTTCCCCTGGAGTACCAGCACTTTTTTTTTTAATACAAAAAATGCACTGCCTCCATCCATGCGCCTCTCCAAATGTGCATTGCTATAGGGGTGTGATGGGATTGCACCCCTCCTAACCCCTCAGACTGCCAATTTGTTTGTTGGGATTGTTAATTGTTTGTAGCTTCAGAAAGAATACTCATGCGGTTGCAGGTATTTTTATTATAGCAGGACATAGGTAGTGGTATTTTTTTATCATTTTGTGGTGTTCTCATTTACTGTACATATTTTGCTTCACAGGTGTACTGAGAATCCTGACTGAAATGTTCCTGCCTCATATCAACCTTTCAGAGTTAGAGCAAACCTTTTTCTCAAAAGTGTTACCTAAGGTATGATGTCTTCCGCAATGTGATGAGTCACACATTGATATAATACTAAAAATCTGGTTAGAACTGCAGATTTGCCTCTCCAAGGTCTGTAGTAGTTTGTATTATAGAATTCTTGTTTGGAATAAATTCCATTTCACCTTAAAAAGGTCTGGAGTCCTGTACTTACGATTTTTACTGTCAGTTTCACTGGCAGGAGGAGAGGATCCGTGATGTTATACATGATATAGTCAGCAATGGGAATTGTAAAAGCCTGTTTTGATCTATCAAAACAGCTGATAAGCAAATGCAGAATTTCATTATTATTGTTGTTATTATTAATTATAACTTTAGGTTGCTGCTTTGGCTAAATAAATTGCAAGGTCCAAGACCAAAGTATTTGTAGCAAATAATCTGTTAGGTCCAATTAACCTAGGTATGGTTAATCATGACTTAACATGAAATACTTTCTGTTTATCATAGCTATACTGAAAATCTTAAATACTCACATTGTAAATGGAATACAAGAGCGTACAATAGGGTTGCCTACCTCCCATTGTCTGTAGGAGATATTTAACTCCCTAGAACCCCTGCTTGCAGGCTAGAGGACATCTGTAAGGTTTTGTCTACACAACAAGCACTTATTTTGTCAAGCTGGAGGGTGTCTTCCTCCGATTCCCATAACCCTCATTTTACAAGGCATAAGGGAAGTCGGAGGAGGAGTGCTCTAACTCGGACTTCTTGCTGTGTAGACAGCACCAAAAGCCAAAATAAGCTATTTCGATTTAAGCTACACAACCCTAAGCTCAAATTGTGTAGCTTATTTCGGCTTCAGCCCTGTTGTGTAGACATGCCCTAAGAGCTCCTGTTCAGTTCCTACCTCAATATTAATCATCCTTGAACAGGTTTTCAGACCATAGAAAAAAATGTGCATATACTAAGCCTGTGTAATTTCGCCACATCAGCCATGCAATGTTCTGTATATGCTTGGGATGAGCTGTTTGTTGTTCTAATTCCACCACTCGCAACTCTAAGGCATCAAGACCACGCAAAAGAAAAATCTTCAAAATGGCATGACCTCCAAAACTCAAATATTATGAACAGAAAGAGTTTTTAACCTTTTCAGAAGAGTTAACTGCCATTAACTCCAAAATGATTGATTTGGACCAAATGTGTTAAAAACAAAAAAGTCTGTGATAAGGTATGATGTGCTATATAAAATGCGCAGTAATGTTAATATTGGTTAGAGAAAGGGATGGAAGACAAAATTGGGGTAACATGGGAAACTTATTTTAATTAACTCACTTCTGTGTAATAACAGAACACATGATATCTGCCCTCATGTCGAACAGACGTGTGATCTGTGGAAATGGCAGATTTTGGCATGCAGTACTGAGCTTCGGCTGTGAATGGCTATGAAGCATGTCTCTGCATTCCATACCTCCATAGCAAAGATGAAAGTGAATCTACTGTGACTTGTACTGTAGGTGCCCTTGATTTATGAAGGGAATATGTTGGAGTCTATTAATACTGGGTTTATTTTAATTTGCTTTGTTCTGACAGGCTATGCAATTATTTGATGATTTGTTGTATGAATTATCCAGTCAAGCCAAAGGACTAACCAGTCAGAATGCAGAATTATGCAAAGCAGTGAGGAATGTTTTGCAGGTAAGTCTATTGAAATGGGCTGTAAAAAGAGTGGTTCAGTGACAATCTGTTTTTTTACCAAAACTGTGGAGAGATTTTTGAAGTGTTTGTGCTAGCCACAGCGGACTGTAAAATTCAGTTCTGGATTTGTCATAGTGCAGATAGTTTGACTATATTAGGCACTGTCCATATATTTCTGTTGATAAAAGGTAGTTCTGCATGTGTATAAATATTTTCAGGATTGGGCCTTAAACTTCTAATCCTCAGCAAAGTTAGTCTCAGTTTTCATCATGTTGCATTTTTTGTGAGGTTTCTTGTTTAGCTGCCATTGACTCTATATCGTATTCCATCCTCACTAACAAAGATTCTACAGGCCAAATTCTGCCTTAATGACACGTTGTATTCATGAGTGTCACTTAAGTGTAACTGAAGGCAAAAGTTAGCCTGCAGGTGGATCTGAGTTAAAAATGTGGTAGATGATGTATAAGCTAAAATAAAAAACAGGTTTTTTTCCAGATCTGAATTGGGTCTGCAGTGCTAACAGGAATAAATACTTGTTAAAACTACTTAAGTGCGGTCAACACTACCGGGGAAGGTCAACCTAAGACACGCAAATCCAGCTATGAGAATAGCGTAGCTGGAGTCAGCGTACCTGAAGCTGAATTTCTGCAACATTCCCACTGCGGGACATTGATGGGAGAAACTCTCCCATCCATTTCCCTTTCTCCTTATGACCTGGTGGAGTACCAGGGCACCATCATTTAGCAGGTCCTTAGTAGACCAGCTAATTCAAATCCTGGGAGGTCAAACTCCAGAGCATTGATCTTGGGGTAAGTGAAGACAAGGCCTCAGTCTCTGAAGCAAGCAGGTGTTCAAAATGCTCTCAAAGAGCAGAGCCAGTATTTAGGAAGATGGCATTTTGTTTGTAATTATTTTTCAGTGTATAAATGTGCTTTGAAAGAGATGTTGATACTTTGAATCTTGCAGTAATAAATGACTGATAAACAGCAGGCAATACAAACATGATTCTCACATAAAGATACTATGACATCACATAAAAATTAAGGTCTGAAACGGCGGCTGTTTTTTTACAGAGCTTCATTCATCTTTCTGGCTTCCTAGTACTTTTCTGTTTGCTAATGTTCTTAAAGATGTAGAACAGTTTAGCCAAATGCAGAAGGGAAGAGCTGCTCTATAATTTTTGCTCTTTGAATTATCGACCGCAGTGTTCTGTCATAGATTGTGCTTTTAGACTGTGCTTTCAGTGAATGCGGTGTTGTTGTCACTTGCAGACTATGGTTCAGCTGCTGGAAATTCTGACAGCTTGTGTGCGACACATCTGTACTTTGCAGGAGTCTGTGCCTCTGGAGAGTATCCGTTCCCTTCCCTTTTCCATTCTGTATGTAGTCAAAACCACATTTATGCACTGCAAGGTAGGTCTCTGAATTAATGGGAGAAAACGTCATTCTAGATCTAGTTAGAGATCATTTAAAGAAATCCTTTGGGATATGATTCTGCTTTGAAAAGTCGCTTGTGGCTTTGCATAGTTGTTGCCTCAATACTAAATCAGAAGTGCTCAGTTTATAAGTACGAAGATGGTCTTTCCAACTACCAGCTCTACAAACTCAACTTGAGCTCTGGGAGCCATGTCAGTTATTTCTATCTTGTGCATTACTACCAGTCATAAAGGTCCTTCTGATGGAATTGATAGAATTTCAGATGAGAAAGGATCACTAGATTATCTAGTCTGATCTGTATACTGCAGGCCATTACATACAGGAGTAACCAGGTGAAATGTATGTACTCCCAATAAAACTTGTTAATTAATTGTGCTCTCATTGATACCTGTGCAAATCCATTTTCTTCATTGGATTTGCAGAGGTGTAAGTGATTATGGATGTGTTAATATTAACTCTATGATTCAGTTTGATTCAGAATAGTGGTTGGAATTTTAATACCTTGCTTTGTGTAAAAACACGTTTGCATGGCACTTTACAGCACCTACACTTGGAGGAAAACTGATAGTTGTGCTTGAAATCTTTCCCGCTGTAAGCAGTGTCAGTAACGCTGTTACAAATCTATAGTAATTTGTCATCTGTCTTAATGGCATCAGTTTCACTTTCCTTGCTTACTTAGTATCTTTAAATACTTACAGAGTCAAATTATTCAGTGAAACCTTTGCTAAGGACTCTAGGAGACAATCAAATACTTTAACTTACTGGGAAATATTTGGGTTACAACTTTGTCATGAAGTTTGGTACTAGATTTTAGTAGAAATCTGATTTTAGAGTCACGCGTCAAGGGTCTGATGCAAAGTGCAGTGAAATCACTAGAAAGACTCTTGCTGACTCATTGGTCTTGGGTGAGTGAGATTTTGCATTTCATGCCCAATACCCACAGATGGCTTTTTAAAATCTATAACTCTTGCTGGTTGTACGAGTTGAAGTAGATGTTTGTATGCCTTGATTCTGCATCCATTCAAATTTGTATCAATATTCCCATTGATTTCAGCAGG